TGGCAACCAAAGAGGCTTGAGGAGCTGGTTGGGATGATTTGGAAGAAGGCTTGAGGTTAAAGGGTTTGAAATTGAATAAAAATAGGGACTTGAGGTAATTTTACAAAGTCTTGTTGGGTAAGTTTAGAGAATTTTGAAGTATGTACTTGAATGTGATAGAAGGGTTTTAAGGTTTACTTCGATTAAATTCAAAGGATTGATCCAAGCTAACTTGAGTCGACTAGGCTTGGGTCTAGTTGATCAAGTCAACTAATGGTTTGGTAAAAGGTCCAATCGGAGGAAAATCACCAACTGAAGTGATCATAATAGTTTGAAAGAGTTTTGAATGAATTTGAGGCTTGATTCAAAGTAAAAAAAAATTAACGGTTTAAACTGGTCAACCGATTGACCTAGGGTCAGGGTTTGAGCTTGATGGGTTTGACATGTTATTTAAAGTCTAGTGGTGGTAATATGAGGGATCATGGGGGTTATCTGGGTCAAATCGCCTATTTGAGCCCTTAATGGGTCGTTGGGTCAACTCTAGTTGACTTGGTCAACCAGGTTGACCGAAGAGCTAAAAATGGACTCAACAAGCATAGTTTGATGTTTAAAGTTGAATGGAATTGATCTCAGGGTCTGAGAAAGTCATTTGGGTTAAATTGACTATTTAAGCCCTTGAGGGGCCTTTTGGTCATTTTGACCTCTGGTCAACTAAGGGTCAAAGTGGGTCCACCAAAATATAGTTTAATATTTAATGGGTCAAGATTAAGGGTTTGGATATAATTAGAGGCTTTGGAGAAAGCTCTAAGGTCAAAATCCACTAGGTGGCAGTCTAGTGGCATAGGCCGTAAATATTTGAAGATTTTATAGCCTTTGAATTTCAATTCAATTTCTTGGGTTAGAGACCTCAGAATGGGCTCAAATTTGTAGGGTTGTCTCTAGAGACATGTTATATCAATATACAATTAATAGAATCTAAATCAGAGGTCATTTGACTAGGTTTTGAAGTTTTTTAAAATTCAATGAAAAAGGCTTCTAGGACTTGGACCTTTGGGCTTAGATTTGAGTCTGTATTTAAGAGTTTAAGTTGGATTCTAGATTTGATTGATTAAGTTTGAGTTATCCAAATCATTTAATATCATTTGGATGATCATAAATGATAGAATAGGATTGAAGCTTGATCAAAGCCAGGATCAAGGTTTAAATTAGAGTTTGGATTCTAAATTGGATTGGGTTAAAGTCTGAATGGGTTTGAAGCTTGACTTGATTGATGTCTAGATTAGTTTAATATTTGAATTGATTAGAGGTTTGGATTGATTTAAATCTGGATTGGTCCTAGAATCTATATAGACTCTAAGATCTAGAATCTAGAAGAGTTTTAGGGCCTAAATTGATCCTAAAATTTACAATCTAAAATGATCCTAGAGTATAAGAAAATCCTAAGGTCTGGAGTCTAAAAGAGTCATAGGGTCTAGAGTAGATCCTAAGGTCTGAATTTTAGAAAGATCCTAAGATATATAGTGGATGCTATGGTTTGGAGTCTAGAAGAGTCTTAGGGTCTATAGTAGATCCTAAGGTCTGGAGTTTAAAAGGATCCTATGACCTATAATAGATCCTAAGGTCTAGATTTGTCTAGAGGAATCCTAGGGTCTAGAGTAGATCATAGGATCTAGATTTTGGGACAATCCTAGAGTCTAGATTGGTCTGGAGAATAAATTGATTTAGGATTAAAATTGGTCCAAGTGATCCCATACAAAATGAGATTAACAAATGGACCCCCAATATGTGTAATAGAATGAAGTTCTATTGTATATATTGGCGTTGAACAAATTTAATGGTTAAGTCTTGAATTTTGATCCTAAGGGAATGAAAAGTTCATCCATGGGGAATTAAGGTTTGAATTTATACTAGGGTAGTGCCATGGAGGGCGTACTCTACCACTAGTGGGTCTGGTCCTAAGGGAAGGAAAGGTCTATCCCTAGGGAATCGGGGTTTGAATTGATTCTAGGGTAGTACCAAGGAGGGCATACTCTGCCACTAGTGGGTTGAATCCTAAAGGATGAGAAAATCTATCCCTAGAGGAAAAGAAAACCTGGGTAATCATATAGGAAGGAAGAATTCTAACTTAGAGGATTTGATTTGTGTTTTGATTCTAAAGGAAGGGGAGGCTCAACCTTAGAGGTTTGAATTTTGAATATATACTATGGTAGTGCAATGGAGGGCGCACTCTACCAATAGCGGGTCTAATTCTAAGGGAGGAAAGAACCTAATCTCAAGGAAGAGAAAACTTGAATGATTTTATAGGAAGGAAGAACTCCTAAATATAGAGGATCAAATTTTAATTAATGCTAGGGTAGTGCCATAAAGAGCATACACTAGTAGATCTAATCCAAAGGGAAGGAAGAAACCAAACTTTAAGGAGAAGAAGATTGAGTGATTGTATAGGAAGGAAGAATTCCTAAATACAGAGGATCAAAAATGAATTTGATACTAGGGTAGTGCCACGATGGGCGTACTCTGTCACTAGTGGATCTAATCCTAAGGGAAGGAGGAAACCTAACCTTAAGGGTAAAAGACTGAGTGATCGTATAGGAAGGAACAAATCCTAACTACAGAGGATCGAATTTGAATTGGTTACTAGGGTAGTGCCACGAGGGGCGTACTCTACCACTAGTAGATCTAATCCTACTGAAGGGAAGAACCTAACCTTAAGGAGAAGAAGGATGGAGGACCCTGTGGGAAGGAAGAATTACTTCTCACAGAAGGTCTAATCTGGATTTTGAAACTAGGATGGTGCCATAGAGGGCGTGCTCCATCACTAGTGGATCTAATCCTAAGGAAAGGAAGCTATGGGACTCACATCTATCCTTACGAAAAAGAAGTTGATCATGTGGGAAGGAAGTATTGCTTCACATAGAGGATCAAATTTCAAATTTGAAACTAGGATGTTACCACAGAGGGCGTGCTCCATCACTAGTGGATCTAATCCTAAGGAAAGGAAGCTCTAGGACTCACACCTAACCTTAAAAGACTAGAAGGTGACTGAACTATGGTGGGGCCCTCCAGGCTTAATTCTACCACTAGTTAGTAAAGATCATAGGAGATAGGAAGCACAGGGACTCACACCTACTCTTAAAGGATCAGATTTGAATTTAAAACTAGGATGGTTCCACAAAGGGCGTGCTTCATCAATAGTGATTCTAATCCTAAGGAAAGGAAGCTCTGGGACTCACACCTAACCTTAAGGAAAAGAAAGTGACCAAACTATAGTGGGGCCTGATAGGCTTAAATCCACCACTAGTTAGTCGAGATCCTAGGAGATAGAAAACACAAGGACTCACACCTATTCCTAAAGGATCAGATTTAAGTTTTAAACTAGGCTGGTGCCACAACGAGCATGCTCCATCACTAGTGATTCTAATCTTAAGGAAAGGAAGTTGTGGGACTCACACCTAACCTTAAGGAAAAGAAAGTGACTGAACTATATGAAAATGCTCAGATGGCACTTGAAAGTTTGTTAGGGATGTCAAGCCCTTATGAATTGGCCCAAGGCTATCAAAGAGAGAGGTGAATTAGATAACTTTAAAACCAAAGATAAAACTCAAACCAAAATCACTACAAACAAAACCAAATGCAAAAATTAAATGCCGAAGAAAATAATAAGAAAGAACACAGTGGATTTATAGTGGTTTGGTCAAATCTTGACCTACGTCCACTCCTTGGAGGCACCCTCCAAGTATTGCACTAAAACAAGTGTCTCTCCTTTAGCCCCCACAGCTAGGCGGAGAAGCCCTTACAAAATCACTTCCACCTTCCCCGGTGCGGCGGAGTCGCTGGGTCCTTTGACACCAAAGAGATCTTCTTCTTTGGTGAACTTCCCTCGAGACAAGCCTTGAATCCAACGGTATTCAGGTGCGAGCTTTCCAGAGCAACCGTGTGGATCCCCCTCCACACTCCCTTGAGTCCCCCCTCACGGGATCTTCTCCCTATACAAACTCTACCCTTTCCTCACTCCCTTTCAAGCTCTCTCTTCAAGTTTCCCCCACAAGGACGAAGCTACAATGGCTGTCAAAGATACTTAACAAGTGCCTTGACAAAGCTTAAATAGAAGCTCTCAAAATGAGCTCATTAATGCAAGTTGCCGACATTATCGTCCAGGACGATTGGAATATCATCCTGTACAATCAGTAAAATTTAAGCCCAATCAGCCAGGACGATTTGAGACGATCATAAGAAATTTATTCATATCATCCAGGATGATAATATATCGTCTTGGACGAACAGTACAAATTATGAAATATCATCCTCGACATCGCCCTGGAAAACAGCTATTCGATGACCAATCATCCAGCATATCGTCCTGGATGATTTTGCGATCGTCTAGGACGATTTGACCATAAAATCAAGTCATAATTGCTTTCCTTAAATTCCAGAGAAATTTTGGCAAAATTGACCTGGATCATCCTGGACAATATTTTATAGTCCTGGACGATCCACCTGGATGATGTCCAAAAATAAGTTATTTCTAATTAGATTTGGCGGCAGATTCTTTCTGAATTGAGCCTATCGTCCTGGCCGATACAAAATCGTCCAAGACGATGTATTTTGCATAATGACGGCTGCTTTAATGAGAATGCCATAATTAAGGTTTTTGCTTTTGGATAGATCATCCTGGACGATATAAATATCATCCTAAATGATGTTACCAAAAACAAAAATCTTTAGGGAGCAACAGAAAATCTTTCAAGTTACAAAACATCAAGAGCCACACTAAATACAATAGACTCAAGAAAGAAAAAAGTGTACAAACTGACTCAGACCTAATCTACCCAATCTTGAGCTGGTTCCAAATTGCAGTTTGATCGTGTGGACCTGAAATGTTAGTAAATAAGGCCGTCGTAGAGAAATAAGAGTGTTTGCTATCATCAAAATCATAAACCATAAAAATAGATCCGCAATAATCTCCCCCTTTTTTATTTTTGAGAAAATGCTAAAGCAATATTATTGAAAAAAAAAAACAGTCACACACCAGTAATATCCTCCTTTAACAAAGCAAAAAAACCAGTAGGAATATCAAAACCAACCAAAGAATTCCAAAAAAAACTATTGGATATTGCTATCTTAGCACAAAAATCAGCAACTCTATTGATTTCCCTCTTTACATGTTGGAAAACAACCTGACCGAAATCTTTGAGATAGAAGAAATCCTTTGGATTAACCCCCTCCATCTTGATGTCCACCTTATTAACAGAGTTTTGAAAAAACTTGATTACATTCAAGTTGTCTCCTTCAATAATAATGCCTCTCCAATCATTCAAATCAATTTGAATATATTTCCCCAAATATGCTGAAGCAAGGACATCCAAATGAGAGCAATCCCAATGCACCAAGCTGATACCAAAAGCACCAATAAACCCGCCTTTGCTGTCCCGGAGGACTCCCCCAATACCTGCCAAATTGGAATTGGATAAGGAGGCATCCAAATTGACTTTAAGCCACCCCGGAGGAGGGGGATACCAAGAAATCGGAGACAGCTTAAAAAGCTGATTAGTATCCCAACTCTCCTTGATGTGAATAAGACAAAAGGATGCAGCTGCATAGCTAACAGCAGTCACAATGATGAAGGAATCACCATGTTCAGAACCACCATGATTGCCTTTATTTCTACTCTGCCAACATAAGAAAACCACAGAGCAATAAAGATTGCTTAAGAAAGGATCCTGCCGAGCACAATCTCTCAAAAATACCAAACAATCTTCAAAGGAATTTAGTATAGGAAAAGCGAAACCCCACGTCGCCAAAACCGCAAGCACTTGTATCAACTTCTTACACTTGACAGCTACATGAAAGCCATCCTCCACCAAAAGACAACCTCTTGGGCATCTCTCTGTATTAACTAACCTTCTATAAAACAAAAAAGCCATGCAAGGAATTGCTCCATTATTCAATTTCCACCAAAAAACTCAATTCTCGGTCTCAGCTTAAGCTTTTTTAACCAGTTTAAAAAATCAACATCCTCTTCATTCTTATACACATATTCTGTAGCCAAAGCAGCAATAGTCTTTCCCGACAATTTATACATCAATTCAACATAATCTTCATGCTGTGCGGTGTTGACATGAATTTGAATGATTAACTCAATCAACAAAACTCCAAAGTTACACTGCAAAGCAGCCATATCCCAGACTCCGTTTTTAATCAGATCAGAAACCATTCCATTCTCCGAAACAGAGCAGTTAACATAAGTAGGCCATCTATCGATCCTCCGATCTAAAAGCCAAACATCCTTCAAAATGCTAATATTAGAGCCATTCCCAATATTCCATCTGATGATAGGAAGCAATGAAGCAGCACCATGACGAATAATTTTCCATGAAGGCGAGTTACAACTCCTGTTGTCAACTTTCCAAGGATCATTACCATATATGGCAATAAGAGATCTATTAAGAAAAGAGTTTGGATTAGAGATGAACCTCCACGCAAACTTGGCTCTCAACGGGCCAATCTTCTCTATGACTGAATGTAATCCCCATCCTCCTTTTGTTTTTGGAGCACACAACACCTTCCAAGGAACATAGTGCATACCAGATTTCCCGTTAATATTGTGCCATAAAAAACTTCTGCACATGTATTCAAAATCCTTCAGAATTTGCAACGGAATAAGAGAATGGGCAGCTAAAAACAGAGGATGATTCAGAAAAGATGACTTGATCAAAGTCAGTTTTCCCACTTGAGAAAGAAATCTGTTACCCCACATATTCAACTTGTTATTTGCCTTCACCATCAGATTCTAAAAATCTGAAATAACTTTCCTTCTCAACACCAATTTCACTCCCAGATATTCCAACTCGTGAACTTTTTTAAAGCCCAACTTCCTAGCCAATTTGGAGCCTCTACTTCCCTTCACTGCTTTACCAAACAAGATAGAAGATTTAAGCAAATTAATTTTTTGACCAGTCCACTTACAGTACTGAAAAAGAATCGTCTTAATTAACTTAAGGCTCATCCAGCTAGCATCAGAGAACACCAAAACGTCGTCAGCATACATTAAATGAGAGATCCAAGGAGCTTTCAAAGCCACTTTGATGCCAAAACCCATACCAAATTGATCAAAAGCATCAGTTAAGAGTTGAGCACATAAAATGAAAAGATAAAGAAAGAGTGGACAACCTTGACGAAATCCACTATTGCCTACAATCATCTTAGAATTTTTTCCATTAAGCATAATAGAGAATTTAGGATACTTGACACATTCCAAAATAAGATTTGAGAAGATTACAGGAAAACCAACCCTGTTGAGTACTTTTCCTAAAGTGTCCCAACACATACTATCATAAGCCTGCTCCATGTCAACCTTCAATGCCACCATACCTTTTTTAGCTCTAGAAATTCTCATTTTATGGAAGATCTCTTGAGCCAGAAGAATTTGATCAGACATATTCCTATTTTTAATAAAAGCAAATTGAACTTCCAAAACCAATCTAGGCATAAGATCATTGAACCTGTTCAGAAGCATGCTAGCAACAACTTTGTAAATGGAGCTACACAAACTAATGGGACGATAATGCGACGGCAAACAAGGGTTGTTATTTTTTGGAATTAGAATCACCCCAGTTTCTTTCCAACCCAGACACATAACACTATTAGTAAAAAAATCATTAATGGCCAACCAAACATCATCAGCAATAATCCCCCAATAGTTTATAATGAAAGAATATGTAATGTCATCCATACCTGGTGCCACATTTCCTTTCAAAGATTTTATCACCCGCTCCAGCACATCTCTAGTGAAATCTCTGTTCAATGATCCTTTCTCCGCATCAGAAATCTTATTGGAAACATCAGGCCAATTATCCAACTGGCAATCACATCTATCCCATTTTTTCTGAAAAAATTGAGAAAAAATATGCTCTATTAATTTCGAATCTTCAATCAACACCCCATTATCGTCCTTAACTTGCTTAGTCCAATTGCTGATTCTTCTAGCCGAAGCAAAAGCATGAAATAACTTGGAATTGGTATCACCCATTTCCAACCAAGACACCTTAGACCTTTGCTTCCACCAAGTACAGAGTCTACTTAGAGTCGAATTTAACTCAGCCACCTTAGAATTCAACAGAGCAAGATTATGATCAGGAATACCCCCACTATCAGCCTCTTCCTTTTGAAGTTTGAGAATATCACTCTTAAGCTGAACTTTTAGCTCCATCAGGTGCTTGTGTTTGGCTTTACTCCAAAAAAACAGAGCTTTTAAAACACTAGCAAATTTATTGTTCAAAGCTTCCGCCACATTGCCACCAACCCGTCTCTTCCAAGATCTAGCAACAATCAAATGAGAAGCAGGGTAAGATGACCAAACATCTTCATACCTGACTTTCTTTATCCTTCTGAATTCTACCGTCAAAATTTTCAGAGAAATTGGACAGTGGTCCGATCCAACTCTCGCCAAATGCCTGATTACAGGCAACTTAAGTTTATCCAGCGCACAAGCATTAATGTAGCAACGATCCAATCTTTCCAGAATTCTGTTTGAGCCACTTTTGTTGTTACACCAAGTGAATCTTGGACCAACAAATTCAACTTCATGAAAATCATACCCGTTCATAAAGTTTAGCATATCTTTAGCTCCTTGAGAAAGAATAAACTTCTTGCCACCTCTTTTATCATCCTGAGAAAGAACACAATTGAAATCTCCTGCCAAAATAACCAGAAGAGAACTACCCACTAATAGCTCCAAATCGCTCCAAAGTTGCCTCCTGCACACAACACCACAGCTCCCATAAATCGTAGCCACCAACCAAGTATCCTTATTAAACATTTTCAGTTCCCCCACAACCATCTGAGAAGAAGAAAAAACCACAGAAAAAGAAGTAACCTCCGACTTCCAGCAAACAAAAATACCACCAGCTAACTATCAGATGGGACATAAAAAAAAATCCCATTTCTTCCCTATCAACATCTCAACATCCCGAATATCTACAGACGAATCTTAGTCTCAACAAGACCAACAAAAAAGACATCCTGCTCACCCACCACCTCCTTCAAATATCGAGAGACTACCTTTTTCCTAGCCCCTCGGCAATTCCAAAACAAAATGGACGTCATTTAGAAGTAAGTGTGGGAAAAGTCCCACCACCTTTCTTCTTTAACAAATCTAGTTTTCTGTCTTTAGTCTGCCCATTACTACTTCCCAATCTTCTTAATTCCATTTGAAGCTTGGATTTAGAATTCCCAGCAACCTTGTCCGCTCCCTCCTTAAGCTTTCTGTTATAGATCACTTCTCTATCACAAATTTCCCCCTCCTCTTTTAAGCCATCTTTACAGCAATCTTCTATCAACTTAACACCCTCATCCAATTCCCTCACATTATCCAGTAGCTGGAATTTATTACCATTGATTGGAAAATCTACAATATCTTCCTGTAAATTCTGACAGCCCAACCCCACCTTTATTCCAGTCTTCTCTCCCTCATCCACCCCTCTATCCACCAACTGCATAGAAGAAGCCGTATCAGGGAGACAGTCCAAATCTTTTGCAGGCTCAGAATGACTATCTTTCTTCAAAGCAGAACGCTGCTTCTTAGCATTGAATCCAAAGACATTCTTCTTACTACTCTTATTAACATGAATCCACGGACCATACGTCGTATTATCAGCCTTAATAGAATTAGCACATTCTACACCATCTGACTTCTTGCTAAAATCTTCTTTGATTAATCCCCCTGCACCTACCTTCTGATCGCAATCTTCTTGTTGGTGACCAATCTTACCACAACAAAAGCACAGAGACGAAATTTTCTCATATTCCAGCTTTTGAAAAAATCGGCCTCTCACTCCTTCCACCCAGACTCCTAATGGAAATTGCTTATTTAAATCCATATGAACACAAATTCGAGCAAACTCTCTACGACCCCATTGGAACATATTTCCATCAATCAATAATGGAGTTCCCACCATAGAAGCAATCTGGATGAGGTTGACTTCATCCCAACAATACAGCGGAAAATATGGCATCCTGATCCAAATTGGAGATGTTAAACCTTGCAAAGACGTTGTGTTAAAATCAGTGCTCCATTTATCTAAACAAACCACATGCCCATTCACAAACCAAGGGCCACCCGAAAGAACGCCAGCCATAGCTTCATAAGAAAAGAAAGAACATAGAACCCATCCCATTCCAAGAACAGTAAAATAGAATTTGCCAAACTGCATCCACTGCCTGCGTAATTCCCGAGCAACAACTTGAACCGGAATAATGTTTCCAAACACTTTCACAACTATCAAAAATTGCAACTTATCTGAATTAGCCTTAATATTTGGTTCGGATAATTACACAGCTAACCCATCCTCCGAAATAATAGACGGATCTTTTTGAAAATTGATCTTGATATTCTTTGGCCTAACCCAAGGATTCATAAATCCTTCTCTACCTAAATTTACCTCATTAACATCTTCTTGATCAATACCACAAACATCTGAAGGATTCAAATCCTTGTCCCTAATTTCTTTAACATCTATCCCATCCACGAATCCCACTTTCTTCACAATGGAAATATTATCCGACGATAAAGCTTCTACAATCCTTCTTGATGAAACAACATCATCAAGAACAGCAGGAAGATTCGTCAAACAGTTATCTACCAACGCTTTCCCCTTACCAATCACCGGCGAGCAAGAATTCACCCCAGGGACCTTAGGTTCTCTGAACACAATTGGTCTGCCATCTCCCCATCGACGAGCATGAAGGAGGTTTTCACCACCTGAAGCCTGCCCAACAAAAACCTCATAACCACCACCGTCCGACGAAGGATCTTTCGCCATAAGCGAAAGAGCCACAGAAAACGAGGGAAAAAAAAACCAAAGTTACCTCTTGGTTTTAATAAAAAACTTAGTATAATTGGATTGACAACGCACAGCTAGAAAAGATTAGAAATTTAGAATTTGATAATCCAAACTAAAGTTCTTTAAAAAGGCTCAAAAACTTTTTAATTTAATATCTAAATCATAAGACAAATTAGAGAAAGAAACAAAAATTTTTCAAAACTCCTTTCATAAAATATATCTTATAGAAGATAAATGCATGAATTGTTGAATCAGGAATCAAGATTTTCAAACTCAAGTATCGAAAGTATCAAGGGTTTTCTTAAGATTTTAAAAAGTATAAGAATGGTAAGCATTAAAATTTTGTGGGCTAATTTTATGCCTCTTGTCAATTTTAATGGCGCTCTTTGCGCATCTTTTGATTTTTGATACACTTTTGTGTATATTTTTCAATTTGGCATCATTACGCATCTTTTATTTTTGGCATCATGGACCAATTTTTTTTATGCTACCTTTCTGAAATCTTAAAAGCAAAAGTGAACGCATCCTATTGATAAAGCGAATTCTTGATTAAAAAAATTATAAGTTAGATTCAACAACTTGCAAAGATTCCTATGCGATAAATAAAATGTAAGGAGATAAAAAATTTAGTATCAAAAACTAATTTAAAAGATGAAAAAGATTTTAAATCAAAAGTAGAATAACAACTTTTAGGAAATAGAGATTGAGAGTGAAAAACATGAGTTTTCTTCCTGTGACTATTTTAGAAAAGTCAAACAAAACTTACCAAAGATTTCAAGAAAAAATAGGAAATAGATTTTTCATTTTTAAAAAATTGAATGTGTGTGTTGATCAGAAAAAAAAAACTTTCACGAAAATAAAAATTTCAAAGAATAAATAAACAAAACACAAAATAAAAATGAAAAACATAAAAATAAATACACAACACAAAAACACGAAAGGC